ACAATACTTCAGTTTGAAATGAACTACCCTCGCACTCCACCGTGGATGCTAATGTTTATCCAAGCGTATGTGTGCTTTTTCTTTCATCAAAATAACCATCCATGTGTTCACACACCTTCAATCACCACTTGATTTGTAGACATGCGTATGTGCGCAAAAAGGGTGATGAACTATCACTGGAAATATGAAGCGTATCCTATGCAGTCGCTTACAGTGACTATCTGCTTGTGTTAATTGCAAGCTTTTGCAGTATTGCTGCTTCCTCTTCTGCTGCTGCTACCGCTAATGATGGCGATGATGATGATGATGATGATGATGATGATGATGATGATGATGATGATGATGATGATGAAGATGATGATGAGGATTCGGATGATGACTCGGATGATGATGATGATGATGATGATGATGATCGGATGATGATCATGATGATGATGATAATGATTCGGAAGATGACGATGATGTTGATGATGGCATGATGATGATGAAGATGATGATGATGACGATGATAATGGCAATGATGATGGAGGAGGAGGAGGAGGAGTAGGAGGAGGAGGAGGAGGATGATGATGATGATGATGATTTGAATGATGATCATGATTCGGATGATGATGATGATGACGACGATGATGATGATGATGATTCGTAATGATAATGATGATGATGATGATGATGATGATGCTGATGATGATGATCCGGATTAAATTATGATGAAGATGATGATGATGATGATGATGATGATGATGATGATGATGATGATGATGATGGGATTATGATGATGATGATGATGATGATGATGATGATGATGATGATGATGATGATGATGAAGATGATGATGATGATGATGATGATGATGATGATGATGATGATGATGATGATGATGATGAATGATGATGATGATGATGATGATGATGATGATGATGATGATGATGATGATGATGATGAATCTATCCAAATTTGCGACAGAAAGCCACTGTTTTCAGAGCAACAAAAGTTTTCACCCGGTTTAAAACTACAACCCAAAGATAAATTTTCTGCTTCTGTAATCGCTTCTCGAGCTCTCTGAGCCCATAATGAAATATGCTGATGTTATGTTTCTATGTTTTATAGCTTCAACCAGTGCGGGTCCTAATAAGTTTTATAAATTTTCGAAGCACTCTGGGGTTCTCGGAAAAGAGTGACTTTTTTCATAATTTCCTTATAAATGTTGTTTTTATGCTGGTGAGTTTGATGCCATCACCTGGTGAATTTTATCACGGGAGTAGCAAATTAAAGGCCAACTGAAATGGTCAGATGGACGATACATTTCTCGCGACCCGATTGTGAATCAATCCATTGACCCAACTTCGGGATCAAAGTCACTTTTTGTGCAATCGAGTAGACACTTCCTATACTGTATCTGGTATGAGACCAAGAGAATCGGGTACCAAGTTCTAACCACGTCGAAACTAGTGCGCGGTGGTGGGCAAGTGGTTAGGTCACCAAATTGTGACCTGGGGGGGGGGTGCCGGGTTCCAACCGTTCCACCGACGGTCGTATTCCCAGGCAGCATTTGTATGGCCGCGCCCCCGCTCCTGAATGTTAGTTGTATATTTTTATATTCAATAAAAATAAAAAATGAAGTAAAAAATATATTTATTTATTGCCCCCCCCCCGGTGTGTGCAAAACTGCATGCCAAATAAGTAGGTTTGCAGAGACCATACCATGACTCGCTCAACCTAGTTACAATCACACGCTCTCTGGAAATCCGAGCCGAATGCGATGTGTTTTGCCTGTTCTGTTTCCTTATCTGCCATTTGTATCACTCCCATAACCCTAATCATTTAGTTGCCGATAAAGCGAATCACAGAAGACAGACCTTGTTAGCTGCAACGTGTTTTCCAAGTATAATATGTTGTTGATCTGAAGAGACTTCTCATTTCTCTTCTACCTTCTAATAGACACCTACTTTGTCTCAAATGAGGATCGGATACTGATGACACTGTTTGNACTGTTTGTCGATTGGAGGCGCAACACACGAATGGATGAAAATGTTCCCCCGTGATTTGTTCTGTATTTGACCGGTCCACATCTGGTTTTCCGGAAGTACTTCTAACGTGTTATAGATATGAGTGCAACAATGGGTATCGAACCCGTTTCGCTTTCAACAATGATTGTTAAATCACCCTGGGTAATCCATTATTTACTAACAGATGACATTGCGATACTTGGGGATAAATTTGAACAGAAAATCCAGCATAATATCATGGCCTGCAGTGTGGAAACCAATTAAGGCGAACAAAAATAGTCCACGGCATCACAGGTTGCTACGCTGACCTCTTGTGCGCAAGATCCCTACGAACTGTGTACTGCACCCTAACGTTTTGAAATAATTCATTACACAGGTGTTTGTTTTGTTCTTTCACAGTATTCGAATGGAAGGTGTGATCAGACACACAAACCGCGTGAAAACATTAGAAACACCAAATTAGGAGATACACCAGGCTGAGCCCCGAACTAAACCCATTTTCTGTAGTCCAATCACAACATGGTTGACAGTAATCATAATTTTAAGCCAATGCTTTATCTTTTTAACAAACTTTGAAAACAGGAGAGAGACAACGAAACAGAAGAGATAAAATGGGGGAACTGATGAGGCCGAACCGGCTCTCGATTGCCTCGACCCCTCGAGGCAATCCAATAAATTCCGATTACGTAGCCACGGCAGCTAGCCTAAATCATTTTGGTGTTGGTGAATTCTCCGAGTTGGAAGTGTTGTTCGCAGATCTTTCGTTGCCAAACTAGGCAACATCATCAGTAAGACATCGGCGAGGACGGGCGCTTCACCGAAGTCGGATTGATAATGTTACCTAGTTTGACTACGAAACATCTGCGAACAAACCCTCCAGCTCGGTAAACTCACCAACACCAATATCCGCATCCCGAGATACAATCCTTCCACACTATTTCAAGCTTGTCATCAATGCTTATTAGGGCAACCTGTTATTGTAATCATCGAAAACGAATGCTCAATTACGATTGGTATTCAGAAGGAAAAATAATTTCAGTGTAAACTCGTCTAAATGCAAAATATTTGTTTTAACATTATGTCGGTTAGGAACTGCATCGTATGAGATCCGCCAAACACAGAGTTCGACTTGCAGCTCGGCAAACAACTGACACTCACAGTTCACTCAATTGAGTGACTCGAATGAGGATGGGGGTCGCACATGGGACTAAAATATGAAACCCATGTACTAGTCATGTGTTCCAATCTGTCCCTGATCTCCAAAAGTTACTTACAAGTGACCTGAAATTAAACTAAACACTAAACAAAAACTAGCACCCTACATCAAGTGAAACGTGAATCCGCCTTTGAAATTATCCATCAGATATCACTGCCCCCGCCGTTTAGCTTGTTGCTTCTCTACAACCTAACCACTGCAGAATCGACCAGCATTCAACTACTCTCATTCAACTTATGTATAGGAAAGAAGTCAGTCAATGCCCTCCAACTCACGTAATCACAGACCAGTTGTGGTACAACCTCATTGCAAACGTCCAGTGATGTAGTGGTGTAAAACTCAGTGCAACGTTGGCCCGGCCTTTCATCTCTCAATCAAATGCGTAGAACATGGATCAATTCAAAGTCTACTCATTTTCACACGCCATATACGATTCATACGCAGGCTTCACTAAACGTGTATTTTTTCACTCGGCATTCCTATTTATCGTTTGTTGAGCATTTCTCTCAATGTGAACTGAACAATTCCCGAACAAATTATTCGTCCACAAGATGTAGCCGAACATGAGTTTTTTCGAATACATTCATTTCATATTCAAATGAAAAGTAAGTCAGAGCGGTCAAACAGAAAGGTGGACGAGTCATGTGTGTGAGTTTGAGAAAACTTCAAAGTAGTACACTGTTTAGATAATGCAATCAAAATTCCCTTTATTACGTCACGGTCAGGTGTACAAGCGAGTTTCTGTATCCGTGGCCGAAGGGAGTTTACGAGCTTGAATCAATTTTCGCTGTGCAGACACAGTTCAAACTTTGAGNCAAAGGGCTATGAATCTCAAGTGTCCCGCCTCAACCAAATGAGCAACGATCGAGTTTGACACTTGTCCACTCCCACCATGTGTGAACCAGTGTGGATTGTGTTCTTTCATCCGTTGACATAACTGCCTTGCCGTTCGACCTAAATAAGTCACATTACAAGTGCAATTGAATTGATAGACCATCATAGTCGATGTGCCTCCGAAAGCTTCAGTGTGGTCGGGGTAGGTGTATCGGGTTTTGACTGGTCACCATTCGCTTACAACTCGCGAAATGCTCCTATATGACCAAGCGTCTCAAATAGTCTTCGCTGGAAAAGCCCTACTCACTGACTTCCACAGACGGAGGTGTGTTCCCACCACGGTGACAGGACCAACAGCCGACATCCGGGGCTGAAACAGAGTTGATGAACTACTGGTAGTTCACCTAGCGGAGTTTTTAAAAACCCTGTTTCCAAATCAACCAAGAAGAGGTGTATGAACCACACGCAATCCTGATTGTGGCAGGGGTCACCGGCTCGACTGGATATCGGGATGTATTGGACGTTTGACCCCGTCCGCAGGGCAAATGATGCAATGAAATGGACACCGGCCCCCAATTGACTGTTGTCTTTCAGGTCTGGCTTCTATAGACAAAGGCTTAGGGTGGGCACACCAAGGTTATCCTCCTTCCTCGCTAGGGAAGTAACTTGCCTACACAAACTGTGAACGTATTCATATGTCGTGGCCCATTTGCCAGTTCTCTGAAATGAATGACGTGCTGAAATAATTAGATGAGATCAACATAGGCAGTCTATCTTTATTGTAGCATCGCATATTTGGTGACCTGGTGAACACACATTTTAGCTCAGCGGCATTAGAAGTGGATTTCGGTGTGGTGGATAAAACTCTACTTAACCCGTCAGCGGCACCATCTCCTTCAAATGGAGTTTTATAAAAAGCTCTCTCCAGCAAGGTTCTTCTCACTCTTTTTAATTTCATTCTCTGAAATAACTTCTGAACAGATGCATCTTGCTTTTCTGAGAGGTTACGCTTTCGATCGAGAGGAACGAAGTTATGAAAATCTGTGTACCGTTTAGTCCACGTTGCTTTTCGGTACATCCTTCTCTGGATAGAGTCATTTGGGCGTCTAGTCAAATAAACATCCAAAGAATGGCAGATAATCATTCTTTTCTGGTTCATTTGTGAACTTCATTGACGGATGTACAGCGTTGAATTCTGACTCAACATGATCAAGATGAGTGTTATTGTGAGCCGTACAAGAGATTTGATCTACCCAAAGGTGATGCTATTCAAAACAACTAATAGCCGTGGATAAGGAATTTGTCTCTGTCTTGATCATGATGATATCGGCGATAACAGGTCCTAGGGGTGACACTATAGCAACACCATCAACCGGGCGATGGAATATGTAATCAAACAAAAATAGTATATTTCGCTTGC